CCAGCTATTCAAAATGGCTATCTCAGATTCTTTATTGATGCTTAATATATACTAAGTACTCTTAAAGTGCTTTTTAAAACACTGATTTTCTCAACAGGGGCATAAGCAGCGTTGCGGGTGGAAAATTCCTCCTTGAGTACTGTTACTGTCTCTGGCCATCCCCACCCTTTCCAGACACTACTGGTGAGGTTTCACAAAGCTGTGAAGTAGAGATTCCATCAATACTGAGGAAGTGGAGGTCAAAGAAGCTGAAGGAATTGTCAAAGGTCACAGAGCCATTATGTGGGGGGCTGGGATGAGGAACTGGCAGTCTGACCCCAATGTCTAAGAAGTAGAGATGTGATTTCTACTGGCTGCCAACTCTTCTGTTCTCTAGACGGGGTGGTGTTTCCTCTAACTACATCCAAATGTGAGGTCAAATGACTATGAATTAAAAGGTAAAAGCTCATAACCTCAGTGATCTGTGCAAATTTATTTTATGTTTATAAAAAATTTCTCCACCAGCTATGAGCATAATCATGATTTTAATGAAGAAATGGACATGGCTAAATCTTATGTGCTCTTGTGTGGACACCAACCTACAGACCTCGGGCTGGCAATTCATCCTGGTAGGAAACAGGTGCATGTCTTACAGAAAAACTATAATCACCTGGCAGGCCTATAACGTGAGGGCTACATAACTATCCTTTTAAGACTGACTACTCTTCAGTAGGGCCACACAATAGCATACCCAAAGCCTTAATCTGTTAAAAAGCCCACAAGCCAGAGCCCTCAGCTAGAGCTGTGGCTTTGTCAGAGCCCTCCCCTCTGGGATCTTTATTTCCTAGATACTTCTTGACCAACTGTACAAAGAGAAGAGCCTTGATGAACTATATAAACACAGCCCCTAGTCAGACCAGCAATTATAAAGCTAGGAAAGCCTCTGCCAAAAATAAACTTCACTTACTGAATGCCAAGTGACTGTGTCCTAAATCTGCCCTCATCACGCCAACAGGGAGCCACAGGCCTTCCCATAGGGACTGATTAGAAGTGAATTTTTCTTAAGGTGATACAAAGTTTGTAAGAATATTTTGTTAAACCTCCCAGGTAGCCTATTCAAACTTGTGTTCCATGTGTCACTCTATGTCGGGTTTTCCTTCTGTTCTTTTTTCCTTCTCCCAACCAGGCAACTGAAAAGTCCTTGGGTCTATCTAATTCTTCTTATCCTTTGAATCTGCCCAGGTTCATCCTGAGTACAAACAGATTCTGGGGAGCATCCTGAGTTACCTCTACAAACTGACCCTTTTCTTCTGGGTAAATCTCAGTAAACGAGTTTCCTGATTAAGGTCTCACTAAGGTAATTTTCTTCTATTTTGATATGTTGCACTATTGATCCAGACTTCTGGAATAAATTCTTCCTTTCTTAAAAGGACTAATATCCCTTTGTTACCTGTCTGAACAGAAGATGGTAGCTCTTAAAATGAAATGCACCATGATTTCCTCACATCTGTAATTCTGTTTTCCCACTAATTCAATCTGGCCTTGCCACTAATTGGTATCCCTCCCCCTGCGTAATGTGCCTGATGATCCACCTTGGCTAACAGAATTCAAAGGTCAGCAGAGTCAGACAAGACACTGGTTAACTCCACAATCCTGATAGGCTGAAAGCTGTTACATGTTATTTTTACATGGGAGTAAGATGAAAATGATGGTGGTAACAGTAATAGTAATAATAGTGGTAATTAGTATCAGCTGAGTCCTTACTGTGTACCAGACAGTTATAAGTACTTGGTAAGTATTAATCTAATCCCACAAAATGGGAGCTATTATTACCCAATTTTCCAGATAAGGAACTAAAGTACAGAGAAGTTAAGTAGCTTGCCCAAGATCAGAACTAGTACGTACACAGCCAAGCCTGGGTCTGAACCTGGACAGTCTCCAGGGGCACACTCTGAACTTCTAATGCTATGCTGACCTTCAATTTAAATGAGAATTTATCTCAGAATTCAATAACCATAAAATAGTTTTAGTTAACCAAGCACACTGAATCACAGATAAATGAAAACCTACATTTATGGCCCTTTTCTCACACAGCAATTTGTAGAGGTTCTACACTGCAAGAAACACTGTCATTTTAATATGTTATAGAGACATCTGAAGCAGGTCATTTTGTGGAAGAATTATTTGTTTATCCAACAATGCAGATGTTTAGCTAACTAAAGCCCCGAAAACACAGTTATATTCACTTCCTCCTAACTATGCCACATGCAGTTAAAGACAGGTTAACAAGGATTACCTGATTTTCTTCTAAGTTCCTTTTCAACTTTTCTTCCAGGTCCTTGGTCTCTTCTGAGCTCTTAAGTTTTATCTGCTCATAATTTTCACATGCTTCTTTAAGCTGCTCTTGTAATAGTTGGTACTCTTTTTCAATCTCTGCCATGTCTCCCTAAAAGTAAATTACAAAGTTATCCATTAAAAACAATTAAAAATGTGGGTGGCACCTGTGGCTCAGTGAGTAGGGTAGTGGCCCCATATACCGAGGCAGGTTTAAACCTGGCCCTGGCCAGACTGCAAAAAAAAAATTGCTGAGCGTTGTGGTGAGCGCCTATAGTCCCAGCTACTTGGGAGGCTGAGACAAGAGAATCGCCTAAGCCCAAGAGCTGGTGGTTGCTGTGAGCTGTGATGTCACAATACTCTACCGATGGCGACAAAGCGAGACTCTGGCTCTAAAAACAACAAAAAAAGGGTGGTGCCTGTGGCTCAAAGGAGTAGGGCACTGGCCCCCTGGCCAAACTTCGGGAAAAAAAAATTTTTTTTAAATGCCTATCTATTCCCTTGTTCTAAACTCTCTCAAAGGAAAATAAAAAATAGGTGAAATTACAAGGGAAATGTCACAATAATTTAGGGATTAAAAATTCCTAAACACTGTTTAGCTAGCTCTTTTATAAGTATAATCATTTGTATTAGTGCGATTCATAATGAAACTTTCTAATCTATATTATAATTAGCTCTGAATATTTGTTTTAAAAGAACTCAGTATTACATCAATAATTTGATGTATTTCATTATTTTATTTTATTCTGTTATTTTTTGAGACAGTGTCACTCAGTCACCCAGGGTTGAGTGCCATGGCAACACAGCTCACAGCAACCTCAAACTCTTGGGCTCAAGTGATCCTCTTGCTTCAGCCTCCCAAGTAGCTGGGACCATAGGCATGCACCATAACACTTAGCTAGTTTTTCTATTTTTTATAGAAATACTAAATACCACTCTTGGTCAGGCTGGTCTTAAACTCCTGAGCTCTAAAAATCCACCTGCCTTTGCCTTGCAGAGTGCTAGGATTACAGGTGTGAGCCACTGTGCCCGGCCCAATAACTTAATGTAAATGTCACTCTCCACAATTAACACCAAGAACTATTTATTAGTTTAAAAAAGCTGTACATATTATGAATATTTTAGATCTGAGCAGGACATACTAACTTTGGCTTTACTTTTAAACATTGCAAATAAATAGCTGCTGGTTATTCCAAAAAGACAAATTAAAATATTATCAATTGTCTTCAGTTTTCTGCTTCTTGGACCAACTTAACAAAGAAAGCAACCAGAAACCATTCTGTAATGTGAAATGTTGGTCAACAATAAATGTTACAAGTATTTTTTTTTTTTTGAGACAGTCTCAGTCTGTTGCCCCAGGCCAGAATGCCATGGAATCATAGCTCACAGCAACTTCAAACTCTTGGGCTCAAGTGATCCTCTTGCCTCAGCCTCTCAAGTAGTTGGAACTACAGGTGCCCATCACCACACCCAGCTAGTTTGTCTATTTTTAGTAGAGATGTGGTCTTGCTCTTGGTCAGGCTGGTCTCGAACTCAAGCAATCCTCTTGCCTCAGCTTCTCAGAATGCTAAGATCACACTGCACCCAGCCTATGTAAGTATTTTTGGAAACCTTTCACATTACTAAACCTGGCAGCAATCACACATTTGTGTCTGAAAGAGTATCTGTTTGATGCTGGCAAATTCTCCCAGCTTCCCTCCCTATGGCAGCCAGGCTTTTGGAAATCTTTCTTACATACAGATCTGGTCCACCTTCAACAACCCCTGTGCCTTTCCCTCAACCCCTTAGCATCCTCTAAATGTAAAAAGGCAGGAAATCAACTACAGGAGAACCTCTGTAAATTGACCACCCAAGGGACTGTAACAAATTGGTCAACATATAAAGAACTAGGTCTACTGTACTGATATGTACACATGGTGCACGTTCAGTTGAAAATTAGGTCAACTTAAGGAGGTGGTCAATGTAAGGAGGGAGTCAACTATGCAAGTTTTACTAGGTAGAGAACTGTGAACTATGGCTAGAGAGACCATACATATCACTCTAAAGAGAGTCCTAGTTTATGTCTACCCAGACTAAAAGTTTAGCACCATGAAAAGAGTCCATGTTTATAAAATACATCAAATGGTCACCCATACCATGATCCACAAGTAAAATTAAGAGTTTCAGATCAAAGTAACCTCTATTTTCGTTCTTAGTTCAGCAAATGGATCACAATGAATAGCAACTTTGTATTATGAATTAATCTGCATGCCCTAAATCATAGAGACAGACAGGAAGTTAAATGCCACCTCCAAGTAAGTACATTTAAACTCTACCACTTTTGTGAGAAATATATTATTTTCTCCTTTATTAGATTAGTAAACTAAGGCTTAGGGGATGTGAAGCAACTTCTCAAAATCCCAGAAGAAAGCAGCAGTACTGGGATTCAAATACAAGTTCCTCCAGTGGAGACACCTGCACCAACTATCTTAGCATCAAGGTCCTCAATGAAGAGCTAACTTAAGAAAGCATTCATGAACATTCCCATCACTGATGGAATATTTATTTGAGGGTCCAAAACAACTGAGTCATTGAACAGCTGAACCTGCCTGGTTTAAAGCTAAGTATGGCATAAGACTTATATTCAACATATACTCACATACAGGCAAAAATGTTTTTTTGCACACAGCACTGTTTGTAAGCATGAGACACTGACACAATCTAAGTGTTTAACAATAAGAAACCAGTCAAATAAATTATTATACGTTCATACAATGGATACCAAATATCCATTTTAAATGAGGCAGTAAATTTATGTTTACTGAGGTGGAAAAGTCTATAATATTTTAATTGAAGACTGCAAATTTCAAATACAACATACATAATATGATCCCAACTTTTAAAAGAAATTGTTTAATTAAATGTCAATGTTCATGTAAGGCCTAGAGGGCTGTACATCAAAATATTAACATGAGTGATAAGAAAGATAATTTTCAATTTCTTACTCATAATTTTTTCTTTCTTTCTTTTTTTTTTTTTTGAGACAGAGCCTCAAGCTGTCCCCCTGGGTAGAGTGCTATGGCATCACAGCTCACAGCAACCTCCAACTCCTGGGCTCAAGCAATTCTCCTGCCTCAGCCTCCCAAGTAGCTGGGACTACAAGCACCCACCACCACACCCAGCTAGTTTGTGGTTGCAGCCATCATTGTTTGGCGGTCCGGGCTGGATTTGAACCCGCCACCTTAGGTGTATGTGGCTGGCGCCTTAGCCGCTTGAGCCATAGGCACCAAGCCACTCATAATTTTCAGCATTATTCACTAAAAATATTTCAAGACTTTATATATTATTTTTATAATTAGCAAAAACTATAAAGATATTTGGTTTTTTATTAGATCATAATTGTGTACATTACTGCATTTATGGGGTACAATGTGCTGATTTTATATGCCATTTGGAATGTTTACATCAAACTGGTTAACACAGCGTTCACCTCACTTATTTAATTGTGTTTAAACATTTATGCTCTACTATTAAAATATTTGACATGTACCCTTGCAATATGCACAGTAGGTGAGATCCCACAGATTACTAAAATGTGTACAAATAGAAGCAGGAAATACAAAGTTCTGACCTTACTGCTTCGTACTTAACTGTACCTTCAATCTTATGATTGATTCTGTATCAGCAATTATGGAACTGCTTCATTTCTAAATAATGGCATAATATTTTATTATACAGATATATCATCAGTGCTCTACAGATGTTTAGACTATATTCAACATTTTGCTGATACAAATATAGACAAAACAAATAACCTTCCCACTGATCATGTGTGCAGATCAATTCCACATAGCCTTCCCCAGAAATATGCATATAAATTTCAGTAATATGTAAATGATTATTTCTTTC